CCCCAAAACCCCAAAACCCCAAAACCCCAAAACCCCTCAACCAAGAAGTTTGGTTGAAGCTGATAAGTGATACAATACTGGTTAAAACTGTAATTAAATGTTAATAAAGGCTATCTTCACCTTCTTTCCATATATCAATGTTCTCTCTCAAAAGTTCAAGAATGGGGAGAGAGTCTCGAACTTCGTCTGAATCATCCTGTCATATATATTCTCTCCTTTCCTCTAGAGCTTCTTCTGCAATTTGTAAAGCTTTAGATTTATCCTCCATGATTTCATACCAAAATACCTAAAAATAGTTGCAACGATTACCGAATAGTTTAGCCCACACCCAAGCCTGCTGGAGTTATATCGATGGAGAGCCTTAGAGAAATCAGTGGCTTGCCTATAGAAGCTATCAGCTTTCTCAATGGCTTTGTCTCGCCTTGGCCCAGAAGCTGTCTCAGCAATGTATCTGTAGTTGTCTCCAACCAGTTTCAGATAAAACACTTTAGAGGTGCAACTCCCCTCAGAGTCATCAGTGGTAGCCTTTGACAGACAATGCTCTTGAATAATGTCAATGACTTGCCGGCACTTGTGGTCAAGTTCGAGGCTGAGTTTATCTTTATACTCAGCTAAGTCTGGCGCATACTCTGCATACTTTTTGTTCTGCTCTATGGCTTTGACTGTTTTCCAGGCTGATCTCTCAGAGCTGATGAAGTCTTTGAAGGTAGCAGAAAGAAGCTCTGTATAAATTTGAGGAACAAAGGGTAAAAAGTTACTAGAATCTTTGTAAAAGTAAGGTTTCAATAGTTTGTATTTGTGGCATAAGCAAAGCTTAATAAGCAATTATTCAGAATCTTGCAAATATTATCATACATTTATAAGCCAAACTAAACAAGTAATTTGGAGAAATAATACCAATTCCTGTTCCATACCTACAACCTCTGGGGATGCATCTTTCTGAGATAGTTGCAAGGCCTTTGTTAATAAATCAACTGCATCTTCATACCTCTCCGCTTGAGCAGCCACTCTCACCATAAACACCCCTTCTTCCATTTTATTACTCAACTAAATCCCCCATCCTCGGGGTTTTGGGGTTTTGGGGTTTTGGGGTTTTGGGG